CTCGATCCAGATGTCTTCCTGAGTCGTCGGGAGATTCGTTGATTTCGACTCGGAACTCAGTTCTCGCCGCATCCGGAGAGAGTCATGAACACGCCACCGTCTCCTCGTGTCGCATCTTTTGAACGGACGGAGATTAACTGGGACAAGTACGTTTTTCCGTTTTCCTCGATTTCAAATCAATCGATTCGCCTGTTTTTGATTTATTCTTCGTCGCGTTGTTAGTCCGAATTGTTCATTGTTTCGATCCAGATTTTTTGTTGTGATTCTGTGATTGATTCCTCGGTGGATTTATATCCTTCGATTCTGGATATGAAATGGATATCGCACTTTTGTTTTGGCGGAATCATTTGGTGGTGATGATTGAAGATTTCCGAGATTTTTTAGGAAAGAATCTGTTTCTAGGGCTCCTTGATTAGTAGAGAAACTCAATTTCAGAAAAATGATTTGGTTCAATCAGATTTGTCCATATAACCTAATTGTTTTCCAGTGTTGAATCATAATCTTTGTTCTGGTGAAAGAACAGGGAGGTTTTGGATTTTTGAAGTGTTCTTTATTCGTAGGGTATATAATCTGAATTCTGAAGTTTTACGTCTTAAGGTTCTTGGAAACTTGCAAGTAGCCACAATTCTTGGAACCATTGCGAAATTGTTTGTGAAAACTTCTGAGAGTTACTTGAAGAATCATTGAACAAATGATAGTCCTTATTCACTAGTTAGAAGAAAGTATTATGTAAATTATAGAGAATCTGGTTGAATTCTTCTTCCTTAATTCTCATCATTTATGCTTCTCTGTTTCTCTTCCATTTTTACTTGTAGGCTTGACACAAAGCGGTTTTACGTTGTTGGAGCTGGCCTCTTCACTGGTGTTACTGTAGCTCTGTACCCTGTTTCCGTTGTCAAAACAAGGCTCCAAGTTGCTTCTAGAGACTTAGGCGAGAAAAGTGCTTTTTCTGTGATTAAAGGAATTCTGAAGAATGACGGTGTTCCTGGTCTATACCGAGGTTTCGGTACTGTAATCACTGGTGCAGTACCTGCAAGGATCATCTTTCTAACTGCTCTTGAGACCACAAAGATTTCTGCTTTCAAGTTGGTTGCACCTTTCAATTTAAATGAACCTACACAAGCCGCCATTGCAAATGGAATTGCCGGAATGACAGCATCTCTTTTCTCACAGGCCGTATTTGTCCCAATTGATGTTGTATGTACTGGTACTCCATTACCGCTTTGTAAGATCGGTAACTCATGCTGTGAATGCTAACCCGATTTCTCTTATTTGCTGCAGGTTAGCCAAAAGTTGATGGTGCAAGGATACTCAGGCCACACTAAATATACTGGTGGTATTGATGTTGCCACGAAAATCATCAACTCATATGGCTTAAGGGGCTTTTACAGGGGATTTGGCTTGTCTGTTATGACCTATGCTCCTTCAAGTGCTGCTTGGTGGGCCAGCTATGGATCAAGTCAGCGTGTTATCTGGAGGTTAGACATGAATGGTGTGATAGATTGATGATAGTTTTTCATTTTAGAACTCTCGTTCCAGACTTTTATGAAATTGGAAATGGCTCGGTTTTGCTACCAAAGCTCTTTTTTTTACTGATCCATCACCTGCTAATGTTGGGCAGCTTCTTAGGCTATGGTGCTGACTCGGAGGCCACTGCTGCTCCCAGTCAGTCAAAAGTTGTTCTGGTCCAGGCTACTGGAGGAATTATCGCCGGTGCAACAGCATCCTCAATCACAACACCATTGGACACAA